CCGTCGTCGTCGTCGCCGTCGTCGTGCTGGTGGTGTTGTGCTCTTTACTACGGTGTTAGACGTGTGCCCGTCAATTCGCTCGTGGTTCCCATTCACGCCGATCATCGTTTGCTAATCGTGTTTGCCTTTTTTCGTTCTCGCTGTCAACGCACACCCTTTGTGTATATATGTATACGTATATTGCCTCACTTACTCTGTCTCGATTTATTCTGAACATATAGAAGAGTATATATATACACACATACATGTACATATATATATGTACATATATATTCGAAAGCTAATTTGTCGAGAAATTTTGCAGAGTTGAGATATATATATATATACATATAGATATATTATCTATCTACAATATTATAAATAATATTTTATATATGTATAGATATACATATATGTGCAACTGATTGGCGTAGACAAGTTAACGGAGATTAAACAAGAATCGAACGAGATTTATCATGGATCGCTGAGAAAACCGGCACACAGGCGTGAAGTTGGCGGAAGCTGACCGGTGACACACAAAGTGGACTCGGTTTGTTATTCCGTCCCGTGGCTGGTCCGCTATCGTGCCCGTTTATCCGACAAAGATCTCTGTTTATCTCGATTCCGATCGATTCCCCGTCACAGGATATCGAGAGGTGTCAACTGTCCATTGTTGCCGTGTGTGTACACGCCTATAAACGCGCGCGTCCAGTTTTCGGAGAAACGTGCGGGAAAGCTGCTTTTGCCGGTCGAAGTGTTCGTTCTATTGGCGAGTCTGTTTCTTAAGGTATGTAACTGTGAAATTTCTAATTTTGTTGCGAGCCTGTTTTGTGTAAGGGTTTCATGATGTTTGCGTCGTAATAGTTTGGGCGTTTATATCGTTTTAATCGTGAGGGAAAGTTTGACATGTCTGTATGTGTATAAGGTTCGCGAGCAGTATGGCGCTGCGCATGGATCACCGGTATTTCGATCCGCGTACATATATATGTATTCCCGCGAAAGTGTCGGATTTATGTGACACTTTATATACACGTGGAGCAATATACTTGCGTACTGTAAAAACGAATACAAATTGTTCCTTGTACTTTGAGAACTTCAAGTTTTATCGTTTTCATTATTGTCCGTGCGATTCGATTATTCGATACCCGATTCGATATGTCGATCGATATTTCTATATACTCTGACAGTATCCCTGCGCGCGCCACCGCGAAAGTAACAAGTCTGAAACTAACGTGTATCGGCATAGCGTTTCGAACTGTGTATTACATTAATTTTCCTTTCAAAATTGGTTTCGTCTGTGATTACTTTATTTCTTATGTGACCATTAACTCATCGAGGGCCAACGTTGCATTAACGCGGTATTTTATTTGTAATTTTTCATAATCGAATTACACCAACGAATTCTGTTTTTATAATATCGTATCTATGAAAGTTTAATATCCTTTTTGTCGCTATTTTTTCAATTTTACGGTTTTTACGGTGTAAAGAAATTAAGGCATTTGTAACGCTATCTGATAAACTATAATCTTGGTCCTTAATAGAGTTAGGATTATTAATGGACTAACCTATAATTTTCAATCACTATCGATATTTCGATATACATCGATCCCTAACCTGTTTTATCATTACTTATTCGTCTTCGTTATTACCACCGTTTGATAAATCGTTATTATCACTGTTATCAGCAGCGCTGTATAACATCGTCAAAGTAAACTATTCTCGCGTGCACTGACGCGAAAATAGCCCGGAGATGTTTGAAACTTTTGATTTATGTCGTTATTGAAATAAGGCGCGATCACGACCGAGATTTTGGATACGCAAATACATAATCGATCGTAAATTCTTGGGTGATACGGTTAAAATGGCCAGTGGTGAAGTTACGAGTGTGTACAGATTATCCGTTTTGGATACTGAACGTGTTCGAACGTAGTACGACACAGAGATCGCGGCGGGCGGGTTCAAAAATAAAAATTGATCATTGTGATCGGTTGAACGTCGTTTATTTTTGCATCAATCTTATTTGCCAATACTTTTATTGCGATCTCGATTGTCCATTATGAAACCGGATATATACGAATATAACATGAAACACACGACTAGTACCAGTCGATGTATGCGGACGCGGATGTTGTGTAAACTTGAGCATATATACCGGGTGATCTTCTGGAAGGGGATAAATATCGAGGTATGAGTTTTTTTTAATAACAATCCGATAATGATGAATAATTTTAACTTCTATTTTATATTACCATATATTCTACTTGATATTTTTATATCTTATTTAGTTTGCGTAACTTTTGTATTTAGGTATTGCAATGTGGAAATATTTATTCTTCCCGTCTGCTTTTTAATTATAGCGTTAATCAAGTATACTATAAGATTAGTTACATATTTAATATAGATATTATTTAATTAACATGTAATATAGATATTATGTAAGGTGAAGGAGATCGTAAGTTTTAAGAGACATGTAAATGAGAGGTGCAAAAATTATTCGTTTCTAAATTACAAAAGGGTCCAATTTAATGGTTATATCGTCAGATTACTGTTACAGCAAATCTTTAAAACGTTTCTTTTAGTATGTCTCCTGAAACGTGAATGAAACATTTTTCAAGTTCGTTAAAGATTTTCGACATAAATTATTCATTTTATAAATATGGAAAATGAATGATTTCAAATATGAAAAATAGTTTATATTAATCGAGCTTTCTATTCAATGGAGAAGTAGTACAAGTGCATTTTTGTTAGAAATCAGATCTAGCACAGGGAATAACATATAAAATCCCTATTAAGATATAATTGATATATTTACATATATATTCATAATATATCGATAACAATTATTAATATATATGTATTGTCCCTTTTATATATATGTACACGATATAGGCACGGAAAATAATATACCTTGTCGATACTTTTCTACCGTTCTCGTTGCATCTGTACGCATAGTCGCAGACATCTACGGAACATCGATATTTTGTATCCGAGGATTGAAACAGCTGTCCAATTAGTGATGTAACATTTCATGCGAAAAATACATCATTACGATTGTACATATGTATATCTTCGATGACTACTCGCGTTCAATCCTCATCATTTTCCGTCCCGGATTATTCTTAGAGAAATTTCGACGCTGAAGCTACTATAATCCTCGCTTCAATCGTCATTTGGTGCTCTTTCGCGTTAAATAGGACGCAAACGTGTCGATATAAGTACTCACTTATCTGTGCTCTCTCGTTTCTTTAAATACGAATATGTGGTATTATACTCTTATTCTCGTAATTTCAAGTTTGCAATTTTATAGCTGTGATTATGATAATACAAGCAAATTGTCTGCACGAGGATTAAATTAGGAATCTTGTAGGGATCGACATATGGCAATTTTGTTGTTATTTCTATACTCAGAGGTAGGATCACGATAGTTATTATTTTATCGAATGGATAAATCTATCACTCCGTTGTGAGCCAAAAAAACCTTTATTGCACGCGTTTGCAAAAACTAGGGATAAAAACAGAAAAGGATCTTAAGCCTATCGATTGTAACTAGGATTATCTTTTAGTTACTATTTCTTATAACTAACGCATCTGCATATGGATGGCGAGCACGAACTCACGTTGTCATTTTCAACAAATTTATTATTTTTTTTTGTATGTTTTACTTTCTACATATTTTTTTTCAAATATTCTGTATCGTTGTTTTACACATAGAATACCTGCCGCGCGAAACTTTGATCATTTCTCTGATAATCTAGGTCAATTATCGCGCTCTTTACGAGATCAGATGTTCTAATTACGTAAGAAAGTGTTTCAATATGATTGGAAAATCATGTGAATTTGAAATATGAATTATTGAAATGAATTATTACTGCTCGTATCTAGTTTCTAGTTTTTAATAATTATTTTAACCAAGTCCATGGTATAAAACTAATTAAAAACAAGTATAAAATCAGGCGTGTTTATAGACAATCATTCGATATTGGAATAGTAATGAAATCTTGTAATGTTTTCAATTATTTTAACATCTGTCGCCTTTTTAACACAATTCGTTCGAATAGAATCCCAACTTCGAAATAATAATTTAATCGCTATTTAAACGAGCGAGTCGGAGGATCTTCGTTAATTATTTCACGAGCAGGGAAAGATTGACGCGAGCATACGGTTGGCTGTGCGCTTTCATTCACGAATTCTCACCCATATCCATTATTCGTGACTTCCGGCCAAGATCTCTCAGGAATAAAACGACGAAATTCGAATAATGGACGATTTGCGCTACTGGCAATTATACCTGTGGGTTTCACGGTTAACCTATATGGCTATTAAGTCGCGAAACATACGCGTCTGAGCGGCAGTTTCAACCTAACACGCGAAAATATCCATTTTAAAGACATTGCTGCAACAAGCTATCTCTATAATTCGTTGGAAGAAGCCTCGTTATCAACTGCGTGGTTCAGGTGTTAAAAAGTATCGAAAGAACATCAAAAAATGAATTTACCTTGAGAATTGTGGATCTTAATTGGCGAAATAAAAGTAAAGGAACACTAAGATTACCCTTAGTATTCATATTAAAATAGTTTTAGATTTATCTAATAAAGGATTTCCAGGATCTTCGTCGATATACATTTGCACGCGTCTCGGCGCTCTCTTTCCATATTACAACGGAACAGTTGCATTCGTCTGTTTCTCAAGATGCTGTGCACAGACATGCTTCCATACACTGATATTCACATACGTGCGTCACTACTACGCGACTAATCTAGTCTAGCACGCAAAATTATACATATCTCGATAATTTATACAGGGTGGTTGGTAACTGGTGGTACAAGCGGAAAGGGGGTGATTCTACGCGAAAAAAGAAGTCGAACATATAGAATAAAAATTTTTCGTTCGAGGCTTTGTTTTCGAGAAAATCGACTTTGAATTTTCGATCGGTACGCGTCCATTTTATCGCTATCTTTTATCGTTATAACAGATCTCACTGTAGATCGTCGTCTCGATGGAAAAATTAAAAAAAAAAATTTTTATTCTATATTTTCGACTTTTTTTTTCGCGTAGAATCACCCCCTTTCCGCTTGTACCACCAGTTACCAACCACCCTGTATAATAATTTGGTCGGTATAAAATTTATTGGGTTGGCAACTAAGCTGCCAATCCAATATCTAGTTCAATACGAAAGATCAATGTCTTTGTGATTTTCATTTTGCCTCGTGTTATTCGTATTTTTACATATTCTATGCTTCACGCGATATATATCATTGATAGAATCTCGATTCAACCAGCCTAATCTAGCCCTTAACGCTCCGATTTTTAATTGTGAATATCGACCGGCAACTCCAACTTGTTCTCATCATACTTGGACCTGCAAGCTTTTAAGTGTCAGATTTTAAACGCTACAATTACGTGTAAATAATAATATTAAATTCATTCGGAACAATCTTCATCCATCTCAGAAGTAATGTAACTTTGATCGCAATATTTATATTAATTGTAATCGAGTAACGCGTGGAATTTTTTAAAACATTCATTGAGATGCAAACCGGGTTTGCGTTCACAGGTCTCGCGGTAGAAAACTGTTTGTTTTTTCACCGCGTTGCTTCCTTTTGGCGGTATTTGAGAGACACAGCTGGAACGTTAAGGGCTAGACAATTTTACAACTAATAAATTGGCAGTAACGATCGAGACTTAAAAGAAGAGAAAATGTTAAAAATCCTCTTACACACGTGCTCGTAACGCGAGAGCCTTTGAAATTTCTCGAAACACCACGACCAATTGGTAGGATTCGTTTACAAATCGCTTGTAAATCACTGGTGGTAGAAAGTAACGTAAAAGTGGTAATTTAACGTGGCTTCGGATTTCATAAGAGCGAATCGATTTTGTTTCGAAAGTACTTGGAACAGCCCAACTATCGTTTCGCCCCGGTGGAAGTCGTTGATAATTTATAGATATGTTTACCGGCCGGAAATTTACTGTCATAAATTTACCAGTTTATTTACTCGTATCTGCCTTCGGTATTCAACTGGCAAAGCCTGGATGCGAGACGAATACGCGAATAGAAATATTAGAGGGAAACACGTGCACGCAGATGGGGTGTACAGCTCGTGTTGCTCGTGCCGTTCCATTTTCAACAACTTTTATTTCGCGAAACGTAAAACGATCGTCGATAAATTCTTCCATCAATTAGATAATGAAATAAAACGATATTTTTATTGATCGCTTATACAGCGTATACAACGAAGAATCTTACAAGTGGAAACGTATTCCGTCTTTCTATCGGCGAGGAATTTTGCAGACGAAGCTCTCCACGCTTCTTCAAATATAATTGAATTATAGATATGTTCCATTTTATTCGTCCTTTTGTTTCCAAAGAACAAAATATCGAAATAACATTTGTGAATATTAACTAATTCTATTTTAAAGCTGATTCTCGTCTTTCACGATCGAGGGACGAGGGAAGGCGTGGCTCGCGCAAATAACTCGCAGGTTGTAGTTGATAAATAAACAAGTAAAAGTAGGAGAAATATTCGCGGGCACATCGTGCGCAATCATCGTCGAAAGATCTTGTTACCAGGAGCGAAAGCGTAGCCTCCGCGTGGAAGACCCGACAATGACACTGATCCCTTGACACTATTTCTCGAGGAGGCCGTTAAGTCAGTCAGCGCAGATAATACGAGCACGGAACAACATAAAAGCAAAACGCTCGTTGCGGAACGTTGCTCGAGATAATCGTTCGATTTATGAAAAAAAAAAAAAAATGAAGAAAAAGAGACATAAAACCAAAGAAACAAAAACGAGAAGACGGAGGAGTAAAAGCGGGCGTAAGAAAAAAAAGGGAGGAGAAAAATGGGGTGAGAGATGAGAGGGAAGAAGGAGAATGAGACAGAACGAAAGAATGTCAAAGTGCCGTCGAGATTTTCACGGGAAGGTCGTAAATACGAGTCAACGACCGACGATAAATTCGTTCCGTGGCGTTCTTAATTTTTGCCAGTCGGATTAATTCCTTTGAACGGACACAGGATCCAAGAGATCGTGTCACGTAATTACAAAAAATAACGTAATTACTTGGTCCCATCGGCAAGAAGATGCAACAAATTCAAGCTTTTCCTCATTTTTTCTCATATTTCACAAATTTTCGATAATTCAGTCACCTTCTTTCGACCATTTTCGGCTTGCCTTTGTGATATTAGC